AATACAGATTTCACTAGACTTCATTCATTATGATCTGTCTATACAGATTTCACATACTTTATTTATTTAAATCTGTTTCAGATTTCACTAGATTTCATTCATTATGATCTGTCTGATTTCATACACTTTATTTGTTTAAATCTGTCTATACAGTTTTCACTAGATTTCATTCGGTATCATCTGTCTTTACAGATGTCACCACTTTCATTCGGTATGATCTGTCTATTATTTCACTAGATTGCATTCATTATGAACTGTCTACAGATTCACCATACTTCATTCGGTATGATCTGTCTATACAAATTTCTCTAGACTTCATTCATTATGAACTGTCTATACAGATTTCACCAGACTTCATTCATTATGATCTGTCTATACAGATTTCACTACACTTTATTTATGATGAACTGTCTATGCAGATTTCACTAGATTTCATACAGATTTCACTAGACTTCATTCATTATAATCTGTCTATACAGATTTCAACTACACTTTATTTATTATGAACTTTCTATACAGATTTCAATAGATTTCATTTGGTATGATCTGTCTAAACAGATTTCACTAGATTGCATTCATTATGAACTGTCTATACAGATTTCACTAGACTTCATTCATTATAATCTGTCTATGCAGATTTCACTAGACTTCATTCATTATAATCTGTCTATATGCAGATTTCACTACACTTTATTTATTATGAATCTGTCTATACAGATTTCACTAGATTTCATTCGGTATGATCTTCTATACAGATGTTCACTAGACTTCATTCGTATAATCTGTCTATACAGATTTCTACACTAGATTGCATTATTATGAACTGTCTATACAGATTTCACCATATTTCATTTGGTATGATCTGTCTAAACAAATTTCACTAGATTGCATTCATTATGAACTGTCTATACAGATTTCACTAGACTTCATTCATTATAATCTGTCTTTGCAGATTTCACTACACTTTATTTATTATGAACTGTCTATACAGATTTCACTAGATTTCATTCGGTATGATTATCTGTCTATACAGATTTCACTAGATTGCATTCATTATGAACTGTCTATTTAGATTTCACTCAAAGACTTCATCCATTATTATCTGTCTATACAGATTTCACTACACTTTATTTATTATGATTAACTGTCTATACAGATTTCACTAGATTTCATTCGGTATGATCTGTCTATACAGATTTCACCATACTTCATTCGGTATGATCTGTCTATACAGATTTCACTACACTTTATTTATTATGAACTGTCTATACAGATTTCACTAGACTTCATTCGGTATGATCTGTCTATACAGATTTCACTACACTTTATTTATTATGAACTGTCTATACAGATTTCACTAGATTTCATTCGGTATGATCTGTCTATACAGATTTTACCATACTTCATTCGGTATAATCTGTCTATACAGATTTCACTACATTGCATTCATTATAATCTGTCTATACAGATTTCACTACACTTTATTTATTATGAACTGTCTATACAGATTTCACTAGATTTCATTCGGTATGATCTGTCTATACAGATTTCACCATACTTCATTCGGTATGATCTGTCAATACAGATTTCACCAGACTTCATTTGTTATGATCTGTCTATACAGATTTCACTAGACTTTATTATGATCTGTTTATACAAATTTAACCAGACTTCATTCATTATGATCTGTCTATACAGATTTCAATCAGTATGATCTGTCTTTACAGGTTTCAGATTTCACTGGATATGATGTGTCTTTACCAATTTGACTTTATTCTATCTGTATGATGTTCTCATACACATTTTGCTTGACTTTGTTTTGTATGAATCTAAAAATTTACCATTTTCATAAGTAACATTTTTTTTAAATATTTAATTGTTTAAGATATATAAGGTCATCTCCATAAAAGTACTGGTAGGAGCAAATCATGTTCATCTAAAATTGCAAGAACTTTTTCAAAACTACATTGCTACTACAGACCAAGACAATTTTAATTTCTTAGTGTCAACATAAAAGTGGACATTCCCTCTACACCAGTAATAACAATTGTATATCTAAGTTCACTCCCTGAAAGAGTAAGTCATAGCAGTACCAAACCTTGAGCACAGGAAAGAAAAGACAAAACAATTAACAGCTGTAATATAGTTTTATTTTGTACTTTATGGTCTCAAAAAGTAACTCATGACACTCATTGATACATGTATTGCTAATAGATGCTCACACAGGACATCAATATATCAAGCGAAAAGCCAAAAATTGAAATTACATTTAATGATATTAATGAGGAAAAAAAACAATTGTGAAGCAACACCTGGTCTTTCCACAGAAAAGAACATCATCCAAAAAAGTAATTTAACCTTGTGCATTGTAACTTCTCATTGGAAAACGATAAGCAAAAACATTTTGTACTTTCATTAAGCCAAACATCTGTTTCTTCTCCCAGTATGTTTGTGTACATACTACATGACAAGTTAACATATTGATGGCTGAAGCAACACTGGTCTAACTTAAAAAAAAAATTTCTTCAAAAATTACTTTTTTTACATTTTTAGCCTCATTGCATGAAATACACAAGTAAATAAAAAATTATAAATAATTGTGAAATTTTATTGTTTTTATTAATCACTTGGAAAATATTAAATACAAAAACTAAGAATGATAGAGGAAAGAGAAATGTAACAAATTACTGTACTAGGAATATGGGGAAAAATATATTAAAAAACGTCACAAAATTTGAGTACATGTATAACTTGGATGGTGAACAAAGCTATAGATACAAGTGCCATGCCATGTTTAATTATAAAGAGCTGCAAAAGCTTTTCTTTGACAACTTAGAGATATCACCTTACTTTATGCAAAATGTTCTAAAAGTTAATTAGGATTTTACTTGAAAACCTGACTTGCAATATGTTTTCAGATTATCAATTTATTGATGCTATAAACATAAAATAAAAACATATAATTCTATGAAAGTATTGGATTTAATTTGCAACCAGCACAGACTGATATCAACTGACACACAACTGTGCCAGCTAGTTTATAAGGGTATACACTCTTTGCAGCTTGGACAATAAGACCCTTCCAACCATGTTGGCAATTAAGTGTGTGGTTCGATCAACTGGCAACTTATATGATAAATTCAATATGAAAATACAATAATGTCATATCCTCCATGTAAATGCATAACTACTTGAATGTTACTTATGTGTCTGATAATTTTGTGCCGTGGCACAAACGACTAGATTCTCTTTATCTTAATAGGACCCTTCAGGGTAAAAATGTCACTCCATTCAATCGACCCTTTCTTGTTTGTAGTTTGGTTTTCTTTGAATCACCTGTAAAAAATGACAAAAGTTTACTTATAAGTAGAAAAGTCTGACAATTCCCTTGAGACGTTTTAGGAAAGCATTTTCAGGGAAGGTTCTGTTGAAATAATAAATTTGTGAAATGCTATTTAGTTTGGTCTTTTAAGTAAAATATGTCTCAAAATTTATTGTCACTGAATAGGGACATCACTGAGGTGGCAGGATGACTGACTAAATTGACTACACATGACATCTAATAATGTTTCTAAGTTCTGACATTCTAAATTTGGTCGGTAAGATATAATTCAACCTTTAAAATAAGTTTTCAGAAACGTGCAGAGTTTGTGCTATATGTACGAAGTTAATGAAAAATACATACTTAGTTGAATGTTACATGGCTTTGTTTTTGGATTTGTTAAGAAATTGTGTACAGTAATCTTCAAGCCTCGCTGTAATCACTGTCTGGAAAAACTTGTAAAATTGCACATTGGAGTACCTCTGTGTTGCACTGCTCTACTACGCTTGAATGGAAGAGAAAAATATTGTTTAAACAATTTATTATGGGTATAGGGTTTGATGCTGCTTCCAACAATAATTCAGTCTTATCACGACGGCAGTAAATACTTGCCCTGCTACGAAGTTTACCAGGTATACTAGTAAATGTAAACAGGATTTTAATATAAGTTAATGTCACATATAATAATGCAATACATGGCACCAAAGTAAATATTAAAGGCCAGGAGGTCTTCTGCACAAAAAAGCATTTAGCCATCCCAACAGTAGAGACTTGTGAAGAATTCCATTGTTCAAATTGAATATTATATTAAAGTCATGAAAATGTGGACTTCTTCATGTTTCCAATGATTTTTTAAAAATATTTCTGACTGTATTGTTATTTAAAAACAATTATGGAATCCTATCAAGTAATATTCATTGATAGACATGACAATATGTATAATATTAATTTAGTATCAAATCTGAAAAATCCATTACATATATAAACATGTGTATACATGTACCTTGTTAGAACCTGAGCTCCTTAATTTCACTGAAGCATTCATACTATCCCTCTGTCCACCTGCAACACATGGGAGATAAATGCTATAATACTTCAATAGTAAGTAAATAATAAATATTTACATTAAAATAAGCAACTTTTGATTTCATATCTGAATGAAACAGAGACACTGTTCCCTGGGTTTTAAATCAAGCTAAAAATGATTATGTCACTTAAAATATGGAATTTAAAATTGCATACACAACCCTAACCAAGTCCAGCACTGCTGCAAACATAGACTTGCAAAGGATAAAATTCCTCCAGTTATTCAAATAATCTTAAGTTCGAATACATTTAATATGAATACAAACTTTTAGATTTGTCCTCAGCTATACAGGTGTCAGAGGTTCTAGAGGTATGACCTTGTAGACATGGTGTTGGCTTACTTGATGGGTTTGATCTACATACATCTCTCTGAAAGCAGTACAAATTTATTTACAGATAATTTAAATTTGCATTCTGTAGGCCTACATATGATTGATAAATACAATTATTCACAAAAAGTAATAAAAATATGTGTGAAATGTAATCTATTATAGCTCATATGATTTATTAACTATATTGCCTTATGTGGCATCAGAAGGTAACAATCTGTAATGTCCCAAGCAAACATCTTATATGGCACCAGACAGTATTGAACAAGATATAACAATGGTCGTAGGACAGGGGGGACCGTGAGACAGGGCAAACCATACCAGGACGGACCATATGTTTGGAAATGGCGGACCATGACTCGAGATGAGGCGGACTGTGATTAATTTCAAATTTAATACTGCTATTTCATTTATTTATTTTTTTATCTTTTGATATCAATATTATCAAAAACAAAAAAAAATTTAAAAAAATAAATTAATATAATTTTATACTAGTACATGTATACAATGTATACTTAGAGTATTAACATTTACAGTACCCTTGCAATTATAAGTATAAAATAGGTAGCGTAAGATAGTGGGAATGGATTGAAAAAATCTTATAAGTAAAACATATTTTCCTTCTGCACTGAAGTTAATAAACTTGACAAAATTACTTTAATTGTAATATTTTTTTTATATAATCCATTCATAACATTTAAGTTGTATAAAGGAAAAATGATTATTTATATTAGTTAATTCCTTACTAACTAAAGGACAACCAAAATAGTTTATGTACAATGTATATCAATTTGCTAAACAGACAGCATCTAAAGTTTATGATGTAAACTAACTTGTCAAAGGAATTAAAATTGAAGGAAGTCAACGTCAAAAAAGATAAAATATTCCATCAAGACACTTTCCACCAAAAAAAAATAAATTCTGGATAGGTGCGCAATTTTGTAATGTCACTCATCATCATTTTATGCTATTGTTTTGTATGTCAGATGTGAATAACAGCCCTTTTCTTAATGTGTTGTTTAACTTGTTAAATGAAGTTTTACCCTCTTATTATTTATATCTGCTGTCTGTCATATTTAAGAAACAATGACTTGTAATTATATCTCTGTAATTGGTCAATTATCACCTGCATAATGTCCAACTCGATGCGTTATTAATAATTTCATTAAACAAATTTATTATAAATTAATAAACTGCATTAATGTATGTACAGTGCCACTCCAGATACAACGAGATTGTTGGGACTTCGGATGATTCCTTGTTATAACCGAGTCTCATTATAACCGGGACAGAACAAATTGGGGAAATCCGACACTGTCCAGCATCATTAATTTCTACTTTTGTGTGCATCCTTTTTGAAAAGTATATAATGGGAGGTAACTCTTTGCAGTCAGAAGTTTTTGTTTTATTTAAATATGCATGTATATAAATATATCTAGCTATCATCGAATTTCAACAAAACATGAAAACACAACCTACGTCTAACCGCGTGTGTTTTTTCATTAATATGTACATTTTAAAATTTGTTTCCAAAACGTTGCATTTCTCACGAACACCGCAAGACATTAACCGCTTCCTTTCTTGTGACAATTTAGCCGGAGCGCAGACAAAACAAGGCTGACACATTTGATTTCTAATTGCTTGACCCATTATCTCGTCCCACATCAATAATTTCTTCCTTAATTGACCTTTAGTATTGGTCATCATGGTTTTTCTCAAGGTGACTAACTGATGCAGACGAAGTGCAAATGAAGTGCAAATGAAGTGACCTCCTTAAAATTCTGAAAAATATGCATTGGACAGAGAAATTATGTACGTTGTAACCGATATCTCACTAAAACCGAAACGATCTCATTATAAACGATAAAAAATGACAGGAAAATAGATGAAAAAAGGACGGGACACAGTAGAATGTACGTTGTAAGCGGTACCTTGTCCTTGTTAAAACTGTTCTCATTGTTAAGTGAGTAGACTGTATATGTTTATAAAAACGAATCATATGCTAAAAAACTAAAAATGATAGTTTACCCAAATCTACATCACTAGCAAAGTCTAGTATCTAAAAATTTACTTAAAGTTCAATAATATACCGAGTAAAAAGGTGTCCGTCCGGCCCTGGGGTCAAAATTGGTCCGCTCTTGGGATCATTGATTTTCTTCATATGCATATAATGAAAACGACACAAAACGATTTTTTTTAACCCCCCCACATTGAAAAAATTGTTTATTAGTCCCCTACCAGTTTAACCAGAGGGGACTTTTAGGTTACCCTCGTGCGGTCGTGTCTGTTCTGTCTGTCAGTCCGTCAGTCCCGTCCGTCCACAAAACTGGATCCTGCGATAACGCAAAAAGTGCTGAAAATATTTTTATTTGAAACTTTATATATGGATAGATGGCAGTATGGAGATTATGCACGTTCTTTTTCTTTTGTTCCTATGTTGAAAAATTCCTGGTTGCTATGGCAACAAATAGGCCTGGATTTCAAGATTTCTGATTTAATTTTTTCAGCTTTTTTTCACTATAAGTTTCTTTATTTCTTAAAGGTGTTTACTTCAAACTTTAGATATAAGTTTTACCTGGGTTTCATCAAACCACATCATATGTAACAAAGGGTTTACAAACTCTTAGCACAAAAAAATTTATCAGTATTACCTCCCTTGAAACTTTTTAGAATTTTTATGGAAAAAAAAAGTTGTCTTTTTTTAATAACTTCTTTATTTCCTAATTTGTATCTTACTTCAAACTTTCATATATATGTTTTTTATTATCACTCAACATTTTTTGAGAAGGTTAAATACTCTAGCAAGACTATTTCCCAGAATTATGATCCCCCTTTGAACTTAGATTTTTTTTTCGAAGAAATTTTGGTATTTTTTTACTTCCAACTTCTTTTCAATTCCTTATAGGGTTTTACTTTTTAAAAATTCCCACATTGTAAATAATATGACAAGGTTGTATAAACATAATTGCCTTACTAGGCAGGGAAACTTAACACCATTACTGTGAAATAGACAAAATTGAACTCTTAAAAAGATTTTTAAGGGTTCATTCATGTCATTCATTCACTGGGGTAAAATTGGAAATCAGAATGTTGCTTGGGGTTTTAACCGGTAGGGGACTTATGGATTGCTTGAAATACTATGATAATTGCTTGTTTTGATTAATTATTTAAACGTCCTATAAATTATGAAAATTCACTAAAAACATATACAAAAGCAGGTGGCTATGTCTTACACTAATCTGTTATTACGTAATGGACACATTTCATAGAGTTGATGACAAAAAGTGGTCTGGTCAGAAAAAAAAATGCAAATGTCATTTACAAACGACAAGACCCACATATTTTTGCCATGAACAGAACATATATTTTTACTAAAATCATTAAACAAGTAATGAAAAAGTATTTTATATACAAGAAATAAGAAGTAATTTATTCGATATATTGGTTTTATTTTATGTTTTTCAGTGAATTACTGATTTTTACGTGAAAATTATATTTGAAATTTCACAGTGAAAAAATTATCAAAATATAATTTCCAACTTTTTTCAAATGACGAAACTACTTGTTTATGATTTTCCCCATGTGGTACCTCAATTTTATTTTTACTGACAATTCTGACAATGTCAGGCTGTTAAAAGAAATAGCAAAAGCTGAAATAGATAAATAACTTACATGTCAAAAGTAATAAAGAGAGAAACTTACTTCTATTCATTTCAAATTCCAATCACCAAAATTTCGTCTCTAATTTTTTTTTGTTTCGTTTTTACAGTCTGAAAAATACATTCCTTCCCAAATGCAAAACTGCTCTTGATGACATTTGGGCATATTAAAGTATCCTACGAGCAATAACTGCCGTATGCTTTATGAAAAATTGAAAAGCATCGACAGCCCATCACTCGTAAAATAAGTAAAACAACCAAGCGTTCCGCTAAGCTTCCAAGTTTTCCATTTTCCTAGCTCCTTTTTCTGAATGTTTTCACTTCTGTCAACACTTTTTTGTCTGTTACAATCCTCAAATAAGTTTTCTTTCTTTTAAAAAGGTGTATGACTAACAAATCCAAATTATATCCCTCTGAATCTTACACAATTATTTTCATCCCATGAAATAACACAACTTTAAAAAATGGCTGCCGCTTACATTTTACAAAGCCAGGTCTAATATAAATTCGCAGTAAGTAACAGAAATACGGATGGATGGTTGGACTTTTTCTCCTACAAGAATTGTTTGTTTTTATTATTAAAACAAGCGATCACTCATATTTTTTTAACAAAATAAATAATATCACCGTCATTTAACCTTGATTGGCGGACTTATTTTTCAGCTCAAGACTTCTTGTTTTTAATGTGAAATTCCGTCTAAATGGGGCTCTCAGTAGGGGAAACAAATTTTAATATTAACGTTAAAATTATGGAAATTTCGTTTTAACTTGTTTTTAAGGATAAAATAAAAAGAAAATTTGTCTGTTTGTTGTGTAAGATGTAATTTTATTTCATCGAGTGGGCTTTAAAAACAGTATTCTCATCTTACACAACAAACAAACAGATATCCTCTATGTATCGCTGATATTTGTCATCCGATAGTGGTAATAAAGATTGTTAAAAAAACATTGTAAAACAACATAATATAAATGCCATTAATTTTTAAGTCAAGCTAATACAGGGTGAAATACCATCGAATCTTTAACAGAATATTATTAAAAGTTTATAGCTTCAATATATTGTGATATATATGAAAACTTATTGCAATATAATTTTGCAAGATAAAATAATTCCGATATTTGCAGTGTTGCATCTAGAATTTCAAAATAATAGGGGGCTTATTTTCCACTCTACTGAAAAATGTGGGGGACATGATTTACCTAACAATATGACGTATTGAAAAGAATTAATTTATTTAAGAAATAATATATCCCAAACTGTGATTTTATTGCTCAATAACATCACTGTTTGGAGTTCGGATGCGGGGAATTATATCACGAGGGCGTAACCCGAGTGATATAATGATGCGCATCCGAACGACAAACAGTGATGTTAATCAAGCAATAAAATCACCGATTTGGATATATTATTTCGATTCTAACACATCAACAAATAAATACTGCTGTCCACGATAAATAGTGAAACTGAGCCTGATTTGTTTCCGTACTTATTGTCAGCGCGTCACATTTTAGTGGTTACGTCACATATCTAAATATAGAACGTCAAACAGTGATTTTATAGCATAATAATACACACTTTAATTAAGTTCTTTTATGTTCAATAGGGAAAAATGCGGGTCGTGTTAGAATAAACGTTAAGGCATTTTAAGCTTGACTATTCGATAAGAATAAGTATAGCTATTGTAGTTTCCCGGGCGTCGGCGTAACCACTTATGATAAAGTTTTTGTAATACCTCAAATATTTTCAAAGTCCATTGACATATGGCTTTGAAACTTTGCACATTTGTTCACCATCATGACCCCATCCGGTAGACTGTATGAAGCATTTTGACAGAATTATGCCCCTTTTTCGACTTAGAATTTACGTTCAAGTTTTTGTAATAGTTAAAATATTTTCAAAGTCCATTGCCATATAACTTGTTCCCCATCATGGCCCCAACCTGTAGACAGGAGGAGGTAACTGTATCAAGCATTTTGACATAATTATGCCCCTTTTTCGAATTAAAATTTACGTTAAAGTTTTACATCTTACATGTTCTTAATCAACTATTACAACATTATAAAACACTTATTTCCAATTTCAATAGAATTAAAAAATTATTAATTTCTGAGGAATTCTGTGCCTTTACAATGTCATTCTATTCTTTATACATAAAAACATTCTTGTGAAGCTTGGGACCCATATTTAATCAACAATCTTTTATTCCTCATTCAGTGTAATTATACCTCACAGATGGAACTGGCATGGTGATGTTAAATCTGTGTCAACATCTTCCAACTGGTTTGTCAGATTGTAAATGAATACAGTCAAACTGTTGTACTTTCCTACAGACAGCTCTTGTTTTAGTTAAAGCCCATTATGCCTCCGAAATAAATAAAAATTTACTTCTTTAGAAAGGTCAAACATAAGTTTTTTAACATTAGCAAAATGTGACTTCCATACAAAGTACTAAATTACTATAAATGTGCTAATTGCCAAAAAGCAACAGAAGAAGAAGACAGTTCAGGTAATTGCCCAATGTGTAACTTAAAACTATAAAATAATACCAAAAGTAAGATTTTCAGAAATAAAAATGAAAGCATTTCTGGGGCATAATGAGCCTGTAATAAAAATTGTTGTTAACTTTGATTTATTCCTTATAGAAAATAGTATTGGTGTTCATGCAGAGATGTGATATAATATTTACTGTAGGAAAGAAAGAAAAGAGAGGGAAGAGAACTTATTGAAGCAGAGGAAGCTAAACAAAGACAGAAAATTGAAGCACATAAACAAATGTTACAGGTATTGTTTTACTGACTTTTCAAATACTATAAAAATAACATATGTCTCTCAGGTTAATAGTGGGTATTAGCAAACCAAGAAATGAAATAGCACCCGAGTAAAACTCAAAAAGCATTGGATATCTCAACCTGAAATTTCTTAGATTGATACATCTTTATACATCATATAGAGGAAAAAAGCATTGCTTAAGAACTTTATTTCTATTTTTGCACTCTATAGTTGTTTGTTGTTTTTTTTAACTTTTTTTTCATACTTAATTTTTGTGCCGAGCATAACATATTATCATGTGACTAATAAACATGAACATTGATAATACCCTTCGTGCTTAGTGGCATGCAGGGTTTTGATTGAATAACAGATTGGTTAAAATGTTGTCAAAATCTGTTTATTTCAGCATGTAGATTAAAATATACCCCTAGACCCATAGCCAAATCAGTTGTTTTAATAAGCACATCTGTTGCCTGAGATAAAGAAATTAAAGACCCTCAGCATGCATGGAGTATCTGAGTCAGTACTGTAGCAGTGCTAGTTTACAGCATGCATGGAGTATCTGAGTCAGGGATAGTAGCAGTGCTAGTTTACAGCATGCATGGAGTATCTGAGTCAGTACTGTAGCAGTGCTAGTTTACAGCATGCATGGAGTATCTGAGTCAGTACTGTAGCAGTGCTAGTTTACAACATGCATGGAGTATCTGAGTCAGTACTGTAGCAGTGCTAGTTTACAGCATGCATTGAGTATATCTGAGTCAGTACTGTAGCAGTGCTAGTTTACAGTATGCATGGAGTATCTGAGTCAGTACTGTAGCAGTGCTAGTTTACAGCATGCATGGAGTATCTGAGTCAGTACTGTAGCAGTGCTAGTTTACAGCATGCATGGAGTATCTGATCCAGTACTGTGGCAGTGCTAGTTTACAGCATGCATGGAGTATCTGAGTCAGTACTGTAGCAGTGCTAGTTTACAGCATGCATTGAGTATCTGAGTCAGTACTGTAGCAGTGCTAGTTTACAACATGCATGGAGTATCTGAGTCAGTACTGTAGCAGTGCTAGTTTACAGCATGCATGGAGTATCTGAGTCAGTACTGTAGCAGTGCTAGTTTACAGCATGCATGGAGTATCTGAGTCAGTACTGTAGCAGTGCTAGTTTACAACATGTATGGAGTATCTGAGTCAGTACTGTAGCAGTGCTAGTTTACAGCATGCATGGAGTATCTGAGTCAGTACTGTAGCAGTGCTAGTTTACAGCATGCATGGAGTATCTGAGTCAGTACTGTAGCAGTGCTAGTTTACAACATGCATGGAGTATCTGAGTCAGTACTGTAGCAGTGCTAGTTTACAGCATGCATTGAGTATCTGAGTCAGTACTGTAGCAGTGCTAGTTTACAGTATGCATGGAGTATCTGAGTCAGTACTGTAGCAGTGCTAGTTTACAGCATGCATGGAGTATCTGAGTCAGTACTGTAGCAGTGCTAGTTTACAGCATGCATGGAGTAGCTGATCCAGTACTGTAGCAGTGCTAGTTTACAGCATGCATGGAGTATCTGAGTCAGTACTGTAGCAGTGCTAGTTTACAGCATGCATTGAGTATCTGAGTCAGTACTGTAGCAGTGCTAGTTTACAACATGCATGGAGTATCTGAGTCAGTACTGTAGCAGTGCTAGTTTACAGCATGCATTGAGTATCTGAGTCAGTACTGTAGCAGTGCTAGTTTACAGTATGCATGGAGTATCTGAGTCAGTACTGTAGCAGTGCTAGTTTACAGCATGCATGGAGTATCTGAGTCAGTACTGTAGCAGTGCTAGTTTACAGCATGCATGGAGTATCTGAGTCAGTACTGTAGCAGTGCTAGTTTACAGCATGCATGGAGTATCTGAGTCAGTACTGTAGCAGTGCTAGTTTACAGCATGCATGGAGTATCTGAGTCAGTACTGTAGCAGTGCTAGTTTACAGCATGCATGGAGTATCTGAGTCAGTACTGTAGCAGTGCTAGTTTACAGCATGCATGGAGTATCTGAGTCAGTACTGTAGCAGTGCTAGTTTACAGTATGCATGGAGTATCTGAGTCAGTACTGTAGCAGTGCTAGTTTACAGCATGCATGGAGTATCTGAGTCAGTACTGTAGCAGTGCTAGTTTACAGCATGCATGGAGTATCTGAGTCAGTACTGTAGCAGTGCTAGTTTACAGCATGCATGGAGTATCTGAGTCAGTACTGTAGCAGTGCTAATTTATAACTAGTTTATGTGTACTGTATTTTCAGGAAAGAAAACCGCAAGGAGGAGCTAAAGAATGAAATTCCTCCAGAACCTGAGAATGGTCATGCAGAATCTGTTTGTGTTGTTCTAAAACACCTAATGGAACAAGAATAGAGAGGCTGTTTTTGAAGTCTCGGTCATTAAAAGTAAATTTATTTTCACTTTTTGCTAAAAATCATCTCTCATATATTTAATTACCTAGAATAATATTTGAGATTTTCATGATATCAGTTCTATCTAACTTTGGTTCAAATTTAATAAAAAAAATCAAATTTTATTTGTTTGCTTTGAAATCTGGAATATTCATATGCACATGAACTGATCTGAATTTAAAGTACTGTATATGTATGTTCTCTATTATACTTACTTTTGAAGTTATTGTCCTTAATATTTTTCATATTCAAATTTTCTTAGGGTTAAGTAAACAATTTTTTTAGCTCACCTGTCACAAAGTGACAGGGTGAGCTTTTGTGATCGCTTTTCGTCCGGCGTCCGTCCGTAAACTTTTGCTTTATATGACATCTCCTCATAAACCACTGAGCCAATTTCATCCAAACTTCACAGGAATGTTCCTTTGGACACCTTTAAAAATTGTTCAAAGAATTTAATTCCATGCAGAACTCTGGTTGCCATGGCAACCGAAAAAAAAATCTTTAAATATCTTCTTTTAAACAACCCTAAGAGCTAGAGCTTAGATATTTGGCATGAAACATCTTCTAGTGAGTGTCTACCAAGTTTGTTCAAATAAAAGCCCTGGGGTCAAAATTAGCCCCGCCCCAGGGGGTTATTGATTTTCCCTATATGCATATAGTAAAACCTTAAAACATCTTCTTTTAAAGAACCCAAAGAGCTAGAGCTAAGATATTTGGCATGAAACATCTTCTAGTGAGTGTCTACCAAGTTTGTTCAAATAAAAGCCCGGGGGTCAAAATTGGCCCCGCCCCAGGGGGTCATTGATTTTCCCTATATGCATATAGTAAAAACTTAAAAAATCTTCTTTTAAAGAACCGTAAGAGCTAGAGCTTAGATATTAAGCATGAAACATCTTCTAGTGAATGTCTACCAAGTTTGTTCAAATAAAAGCCCTGGGGTCAAAATTGGCCTCGCCCCAGGGGGTCATTGATTTTCCCTATATGCATATAGTAAAAACTTAAAAAAAATCTTCTTTTAAAGAACCCAAAGAGCTAGAGCTAAGATATTAAGCATGAAACATCTTCTAGTGAGTGTCTACCAAGTTTGTTCAAATTAAAGCCCTCTGGTCAAAATTGGCCCCACCCCGGGGGGTCATTGATTTTCCCTATATGCATATAGTAAAAACTTAAAAAAATCTCCTTTTAAAGAACCATAAGAGCTAGAGCTTAGATATTTGGCATGAAACATCTTCTAGTGAATGTCTACCAAGTTTGTTCAAATAAAAGTCCTGGGGTCAAAATTGACCCCGCCCCAGGGGGTCATTGATTTTCCCTATATGCATATAGTAAAAACTTAAAAAATCTTCTTTTAAAGAACTCAAAGAGCTAGAGCTAAGATATTTAGCATGAAACATGTTCTAATGGGTGTCTACCAAGTATGTTCAAATAAAAGCCCTGGGGGTCAAAACTGGCCCCGCCCGGGGGGGGGGGGGTGTCATTGATTTTCCTTATATGTGTATAGCAAAAACTTAAAAATCTTCTATGAAAAAACCCGAATAGCTAGAGTTTAGATATTAAGCATGAAACATCTTTAAGTAATTATCTACAAAGTTTGTTCAAATAAAAGCCCAGGGGTCAAAACTGGCCCTGCCCCAGGGTTTCATTGTTTTTAACCATATGTCTTCTTTTAAAAAAACCCAATGAGCTAGAACTTAAATGTTTAGCATGAAACATCCTCTTTTGGGTGTCTACCAAGTCTGTTCAAATAAACAAATAAAAGCCCTTGGGTAAAAATTGGCCCGGGGATGTGGGGCCTATATACAGGTGAGCGACCTCAGGGCCATCATGGCCCTCTTGTTTCTTTGATCACCTTAAACATGATAGTTACAATAAATTACTTTGGTCATTATGAGAATTATGACCATGTTTGACCATTGTTTTCAGGCATGACATTAAGAGCCATTATATCCCCGTAGTTGTTTATTTCACTTCCTTTAGCTGAAATGTCGTATAATATTTTTGTTGTTTTATATATTTCAGTATCTGTATTATTTCACATTCTGTCATGAAGATTGTCCGGACGATTTCCATAATGTTACTAACTTCCCGAGAAAGACATTACCATGTGAACCAACAAGTGAATATCCTGAACCAATCACATTTGAAGAAGCTGGATTAGGAAAGAATGAAATGCTTTTTGTCCAAGATAATGAATCTTGAATGACAGATAATAATTATGATATTCTGTGATATTAGAACACAAAACTATGTTCATGCTTGTCCGTTTTCCTGTTGTGATCATTATCTTACAACCAGTTGGTCAGATTGTTATTTGAAATGAGACGGAATTTTGTTTAAAATGCCACCATGATCCACCAAATTGTTGAGGAGTTATTGCCCTTTGCTATTTACAATGATTTAAAAATATAAAGTTTGACGCTGCATAATTTCAGTTTGGAGCAATTTTGTGTTTTCAACTTACAATAATATCATTAATGATAATCTTTTCTATTTTAAACTGATTGGTATTTGGTCAAATTTCTAGTGATTAAACTGAATGATATTTTGTCGAATTTGTAGTTATCTTTATATTTTAAACTGTTTGATGTTTTGTCAAATTTTTATTAATCTTTATATTTGAAAACAAATGATATTTGGTCAAATTTCTTATCTTTACATGTAGTTTATTTTTAAAAGCTTATTTTTTCTGAAGAGAATTGTGTAACGTTATAGTTTGGAGAAGTGACTCCTTTAAAAAAAAATACAAGTTTAATTATTTGTTTAATTTTGTAACTACTTGTTAAGCATTGCCAAATAAATCAGGTTGGATTTTCATTCCTAGTCATGGGATTCATTGATTTGGAAACATATCATTTTTATCTCAAAATGACATTTATTGTGTAGGATAACGGTAATTAGCCGGTAATTAGTCAACAATACATAGGCGGATATATTTAATATAATGAGCTGTCACCGGACACTATGCTTAATTTAGTTAATTGATGGGCATGTCATCACTTAAACGGGGATTTGTACCTATATCGTGCAAACATAATTGTTTATTTACCTTTACCTTCTCCTTCTTCTGAGCATTTAAGCCAAGATGGCTTGTAAGCTCCTCCAATACAGTATTATCAAGTTAACTTCAGTAAATGTCACTTGTAAAGGGCACTGTTTACACAGACTTATTCCCAGATTGGCACTCGGTACTCTCACATTCCCGAGTCACTAATGTTAATGATAGAATTATCAAATCATTAAATGAGCACACTGATTGGAAGACGGATTCCATTAACCATCCATTGTTTGCGAATAAAACTGCCTGCCCTCCAAGCCAACCTCTTAGTCACCAGCCAACTGTAGTATCCAGCAACACCAACGGAAACAACGATAAACTCCCGAGGCAATCACATACGCCGTACGATAATTCTGGTAATAACACCACCGAAAGTGATGACACACTTTTAAAACTATTACACACTCCCAACGATAATTCAAGCGGAAACTCCCCCAACAACTCACCTCGTGGTCATCTTCATCGTAGCAGATCAACATCCCGACGCACACGCGTTCCTATACGTAATTTATCACCAGAATCTACAAGTCATAGGTCGCCATCTATCCAACAAATTCGTGAGCAGTTCAATTCTAGTCGTGAACCTTCAACTACTCGCCGTGAACAACTGACACAACAATCAAGTGTAACATAGGCCAAACAGGGGCCAGTGAACTCAAATACAATTAACCTTAGTCATAAAACTAAATTAAACGACTTGAAAATTGGTACCTTGAACGTATGTGGCATAAAAAATAGAGTTAATTTTCCTGATTTTGTAGAACTTATATCAAAATATGATGTTTTTTGTTGCACTGAGTGTAAAATAGATAGTTATGATGAAATTTGTATTGATAACTACACATTTTTAAAACAACCAAGAAAACAGGCTTTTTTGCGACGATCTGGTGGGCTAGGGGTTTTTGTAAAAGACGAGTTGCTTAAATATGTTGAAGTAATTGAATCAAAATCTGATTACGTTTTCTGGATAAAACTTAAAAACGATGTTTTTAACCCTTGTCGTTATTTAGTAATTGGTATAGTTTATATCCCACCAGAGTCGTCTAATTATTATAAATCTGATGAGTTGTTAATATTTGAAAATGAAGTTTTTGAATCATGTAATATGTATGACCATGTACTTTTAACTGGAGATGCAAATGCTCATATCGGTCTATTACAAGGTTTATCCGAACCAGATAATTTTTTATCACGTCATTTTGATTTTGATGACGACATGATAAACTTTTTTAATCAAGCTGATGCTTTACAAAACCTAGGCATACCTATTCAAAGAGTATCCAAAGATTTAAACATAAATACTACTGGAAGAATGTTAATAGACTTATGTATAAACAATAATTTGTATATTTTAAACGGTCGCTTTGGCCAAGATAGTTTAGAAGGTGCGCCAACATTTAGAAATTTATCAGTAATTGATTACTCTATAACATCTGCTAAGTTACTGCCTTTCCTTATAGATTTCAGCATAACTGAAGTCGACTGTCTGTACTCCGACGGACACTCGCTGCTTACAACTTGTTTAAATTTCGATAAAACGGAGTCAACTTCACAACAAAATGAGCCCCTACAAACTATCTCTCATCCTAGGTGGCAAGACAATAAACGTAATGATTTTTTACAAAACATTGACCAAAACATGGTGTTATGTGTTGAAAATTTATTAAATGAGTTCCCGTCAGAGATATCCGAACAAAAAAATGCTCTCGACAGAATAACAGAAAATATCTCTGTCATATTTCAAAATTCAGCTGAAGTAACCTTTAATGTAAATAAAGACTCGCATGTTATTACAAAATATAAAAACAATCAAATTCATAATAAGAAAAATAAACCCTGGTATGGGCCTCGGTGTAGAAATAAACGTGTTATTTACAATCGCGCAAGAAAAAATTTCAGTCAAAACAAATCGGTTAATAATAGAAGGTTACTCAACCATGCGAGCATCGATTACAAACGTACAATGAAATTTTATATGAATCGCCACAATTTTATCAATGAATCAAAACTACGTAATATGCATTCTTCGGACCCGAAATCTTACTGGAGATTTTTAAATTCTTTGAATAGAAATAATTCAACAAACGTGCCAGATATAAAAGTTTTTTATGAGTATTTTCAAAAAGTTAATAAAGTAACGGACAATGAAGAATCTTTTCACGTTGATGATACAAATATGAACTTTGATGATGATATTTTAAATTCTCCATTCACAAACAGCGAAATTTCAAAAGTTATTAATAAATGTAAAAATGGCAAAGCTTTTAGTAAGTCTGACAATATTTCAAATGAATATATAAAATCCACAGAACATATTATGTTGCCAATATATACTAAATTATTTAACAAAATTTTAGAAACAGGCTTAATTCCTACTACTTGGTCTGAAGGCTACATAATTCCTATTTACAAAGGCAAAGGTTCTACTTATTCACCTGAAAATTATAGACCAATAACTATACTTTCCTGTCTTTCTAAATTATTTACAAGCGCTTTAAATGAGAGGCTGACAAAATTTGTAGATACTTATAATTTATTGAACGAAAATCAGTGTGGTTTCAGGAAAAACCATAGCACGTTAGATCATGTTTTCACTCTTAACTTTCTTGTAGAGTTATTGAAATCACAAAAGAGTAAATTATTTGTGGGATTTATCGATTTTTCTCGGGCTTTTGATAATTCGCCGCGTGCTCAATTATTTCAGAAATTAATAAATACCCAAGAATAAACGGAAAATTCTTAAAATAGTCCGTAATTATGTACGACGGCAATCAAATCTTGTGTACAATTGAATAATAATGTCTCAGCAATGTTCTCGTGTGAATGTGGGGTACGTCAGGGGGAAAATCTTTCCCCTCTGAATGTTTTCCCTCTTCTTAAACGATCTTTTTGGAACATTTAGAATCGAAAGGTAACACCGGTTTAACATTACAGTATGCGGAAGATGAAAATTACTTATAATTTAACTATTTCTGGCTCTCTTATTTGCAGACGACACCATCATACTAGCTAAAACGGCGGCATGAATTCCAAAAATGTTTAAATGATTTTGATTTGTACTGTAAAACATTTGGAAACTACAGATAAATACACAGAAAACAAAAGTTGTGGTCTTTGGGTCAAAATAGACGCGGCACCCGAAATATGAATTTTTCTATTAATAATGAAATACTCGAGATTACTGACGAGTATAAATACCTAGGTGTTGTATTTAGCCAATCAGGAAAATACAAAAAAGCGCGTGACCATTTAATATCACAGAGTAGGAAAGCAATGCACCTTCTGTATAAACGTATATTTAACCTAAATCTTCCTATCGATCTACAACTTAAGCTGTTTGATAATACAATTTTGCCTATATTAACATTTTCGTGTGAAGTTTTGGGGAATAGAAAACAATACAGATATAGAGAAAGTCCACTTAGAATTCCTTAGAAAAATTACAAACTCAAGAAAAAGTACCCCGGCTTATATGCTTTATGGTGAAACGGGTAGATATCCAATAGACATAATTATTCAAAGCAGAATCATAAAGTTTTGGAATAAAATTATACATAGCGATCAAAATAAGTATTCAAGTATTATTTATAACATAATGGTTCATAGTGAACACCTATTTAGATGGTCAGAATTTGTTAAGAATATTTTGAACAATACTGGTCACTCATATTTGTTTTTGAATCAATCTTCCATAACTTCCAAAAGTATACATGTCTTAATTAAACAAGTACTCGTAGATCAGTTTATCGCTGACTGGAATGCAAAATTACAAGTATCAAACAAAGGTAAACTGTATTATCTTTTCAAACAGCAGCACAAACGTGAAGAATATCTTACAATTTTACCAAGACAGTTTTACTTACCACTTCTGAAATTTCGTACGTCAAATCATAGATTGCCGGTAGAATTACTCCGTTATAACAATACTCCATATAATGAAAGAATTTGTATAGAATGCCAAACACTAAGTGATGAATATCATGCAATTATGTCGTGTAAATTGTTTCGAAATAAAAGGAAACAATTGATTCCAGAGTATTATTATAAGAATCCAAATGTCATCAAGTATAATCAACTTCTTAAAGTAACTCCACTGAGGTTAATAAGCGTATAAACATAAAATTTTATTTTTTATACATAGATAAAATTTAGCACTTAAAACAGAAATACAAATAAAATATAACCAAGAAATATACAAGACATACATTGGAAATCATATGTTTGTGCTATGCACAGTCCGATTTGAGTGAAAAGCGTTTAAACGCTTTTCAATTTTTGGTCATTTTTCACTAATATAATAATTATTCTGGAAAAACGGAGCAAGCTAATAATCTGATATTTTGCACATAAGT